AAAAAAAAAAAACGTAAAAATGACACCGGTTGATTTTTTGTCAAGGTTTTGCCCCGCAAACCCAAACAATTGGTCATATTTGGTGTAAAGGAAACCTTTATTAAGGAAATATTAAAACTAAACTAATCAATAACAATAAATACAAAGACATCATTTTTATTGGAAAACGGACCTCAATGAAGAAACATTTTTTTAATCTCTTATTGGTTCAAGACCGAGCGATTTCAGAACAGAATTTTTATTTATTTCTTTTATTTGGAATTTTGCTGAATTTCTATACTGCCGGGATGAAACATAATTTTTGTGTTTCGAAAAATTGCGTTCAATACCAAAACCAAAGCTGTTTTAATTCTTAAATTCTTCCCATGATTTTATTTGTCTCATCCTTTTGTATGTCAAATCGATAATTTGTAAAATAAAATTTTTGCATTGAAAATTATGTGTATTTATTTTTGCAGCTGTATTTCAGCAAAACATTTCATTCGAAACGACCCGTTCACACGAAAGTGTTTCTGTATCATATTGCGGCCTATTGAGAAAAACGCAACGTTATGCGCAACGAATCTCAATCTCCTTTGCATACTTGGCGCACAAAAATCTTAAAGAGTATTTGCCATCAAATCGTTCATTTAGTTTTCGATCCTTCATTAAGTCAGACGTAGAAAGAGCCTCTCTTACTTTTGCATTTCAATTTGCACAACCAATCGTGTTCATAAAACTTAGAGTTGAAATTAATTCAAATTTCTCAAATCCATCAGATTTTTCGTTAAATTTTCGAAATAATTCTTTCAATTTATTATCAATTTTTTTTTTTTCAAATTTCAACTTGGTTACTTTTCAATCTTGATTCGAAGTGAGTTTGTAGATCTTTAATTTTTAATAAAAAGTGATTTTAAAATAAAAACATTGAAACAAATATCATCTACAGCTTAAAATGGGATATCTAACGGTTAATGGTTGCTGCTGTTTTGACTTGAAAACTGGTGGCTTGATAATTGGATACATTGAATTAACTATCGCGATTGCGTTGTTGTTCATTGATGCGATAGATGTTTGGGTGAAAAGTAATTTTTAAACTAAGAAAAATATAAAATCCGAAATTTACTGAATTTTTTTTTATATAGTTCTGTATTGCATGCTTGTTGGTTGTTGGCTCTATGGAATTCACTGGGTAAATAAGTTATTTAAAAATTCTTCTTTTACCTTATTTTAGTACAGTTACTAATTTAATTTGTCAATGCGAAATAAAAGTGCATTTTATAATCAATTTGTAAATTAAATTTGTTATTAAAGTGATTTAATTCAATTCATTATTCAATTTTGATAGGAAAAAAAGGACTCTTTGTTGCCAAGTATCATCGCGTGGTTTATTCTCCATATCCTCTTTACGATTCTGTTGGTAACCATCTCGATCTGTGGATTGATTGGCAAAGAAATACTCAATTCAGTTGAATCGCATACAAAAGTGTCAATGGGCAATGAATTCGCAAAGGCGAGCTTTGATCCAACAGGTGGCATGCTGGATTCAGTCTCAGCACTGGCTGGTGGCATATTTTTGGTTGTTTGGGTGATATTTGCTATCATTGATTGTAAGTACAACAATAAAATACAACTCTCGCTTTTATGTTTTAAAAAATGTTGACACATTATTATAATACTTTCAGTGGTTGTGTGGGACATCACTAGAGTCAAGTGTTCTCTATACTTGGAAATGACGAAGGAAAAGAAAGAAAGAGCTGCTGCTATTCGACAATCGGTCGCAATCCTAGATCATTTCAATTCGGTAAAAATAGAGAGCGTTTAACCACTTAAAATTACCATTATTTGATCATTTGGAAAATACACAGTACATAGGCATATTCAAATATCATCCTATCTATTTAAGTGATATACATATTTGCTTAAAAAAATAAAAAGAAGTATTTTCTGAAATATGCGCATCAAGCATACAATAATCTTTCGATGTATTCAGTTACAATTTGAAATAAAATCATAACAATTCTATAAATACAGATTATCGCTTTCATCATATTTCGCATAATAATAAAAAAAATGCACACATTAATGAACCATAAACTATCACTTGTAATATAAAGCATACAAGTAAGTATATCTAATCAGTTCTGTTCTTACTAGCATTTATAATGGATACGAAGAAAAATTTCAAATCAAATAATTCCTTCAGTTATAAAGACTTTACTCTGTTATTTACATTAATGAAAATATCGGCGTAAATTATTGCCAATATAAATTTCTCAGAAAGCCGATTGTTATTGTTCAACCTTATGCGTTCACTTTTACAGATTTTACGAAGAAATTGTTTACATAATGAACTCCATTGTTTGGATTAATCCCGTTTATGTGTTTGACACTTCATTTCTTTTGATTTCAAAAACTGCATAAGTACAATTGTCGTCGTACTGCTTATATCAAGAGAAGTAAACAAAATCTCGCCTAAATACACATTCAATATATACAAATCAAAAATGATTCATGGTACTTAGTCTTCGAATTTTATTTTAATCTTTTGCCAAAGCCAATTCTTTGAATTGACCGAAGTCATACATAAACATAATAACGAAATGCGTATCAAAAAGCAAAAACGCATCACTTTTCCCTTTGCTGATTGTGAACATTCATTTTTTTAGACAAAAATATTTGTATAGCTTGGATTATTTCAAGACGGGTGGTTTTCTAGAAATTTTAGAGCACGCAATAAAATGTTTGCCAAAGATACTAGTTTGACAGATTTCATTAAAAATATATACTTCTATCATTTAGTTAAGAACAGAGAGTAGATAACATTAACGCTATAGTAATACTATATTAACAGGGCCTATCAATAGTTACTATTTGTACACATTTCGATTGTGCGGCGACAACAATTTTTGTGAACTCTGTATTTGGACCCTACAGGAGATACAAAGGGCCTCATTTTATACAAAAATTGTTGTCGCTACATAATCGAAATGTGATTGATAGGCATTGTTAATATAATATTGCTATAGCGATTGTGTTTTCTACTCTCTGGTTAAGAGAGTTAATCAAAAATGGAAATGTGGTACCACGTGAGAAATCATCAAAAAAGACGATGGTATTTAAACAGTTATAAAAAAAATGTTATTGAATTGCAAAGTATTTCTCTCTATTTATTCAATACACTACATGATTTTGCTTTAGAGGTTTTTTTAAGGATTCTAACGATCTTCATATCGAACACCACGTTTAACATAGTAGTGTGGTGCCAATTCAGTCAGCCAGTCCCCTTCAATCACAGTCACTTCCTTCATGAATGGCTTTGTCGTGTGGAGCAGCTCACAAAAAACAATGTACTGTGGTTGTCGAATGGTGTACAGACACGATAGCGGATGAATTTCCATTTCACGATTTCCTCTGCATGTACGATAAACGCCGGAATGGTGAAGATACGCTATAAAAAAAAATAATCGAAAATTGCATTAGTTCCATTCATTTTTTTCAATTCGATTTTATGAAAGAAAATATAACAAACCTGCATTTGGAAAGAATCCGCTTGTAATGCATCGCCGAATGACATCCACATTTCCATGGCAAGAGATCAATGGCATTCCAATTTTATTGCGACACAATTTAGCCAATTGCTCGCGCAGCTCATAGGCTCTTTTCAAGTTCTTGTAAATGACATAATGTTGACCGCACCATTCTTTTGTTCGGCCCGCGGCCACAAAGCCCGTGTAAACATTAAGCAATGTGATAAGATCACCCTCGGCCACTTCAAACTCTCTCTTTTTAACTCGCGCTGTTATTTGACCTTGACCTGTTGATGGCTTAGAAAATACCGTGTGCACTTGAAGCATTGCAATTATACTTAAAATCTCTTCGGAGCACGCCATTTGAATAGAATTGTATAGCATTTTTCCCATCATCGGACTGATTGGAAGCTCGGCCAAGAAATAACCAACGGGTTGGGTCAGCGTTCGTGACGTCGTTGAACTGAGTGTACCGCTTGATGGACGTCCTCGCACACGCCGTCAGTCAAGTAACAATCAACAAAAATGGATTGACGTTCCAGGTGAGTTATTCAAATCAAATCAAAATACAAAATTCAATCAACTTATTCAAAATATAGTTGAACCATTTGAACGAAAGTATTTTGTATGATAACGAAACTGATGGTAGTGATGATGAAACTGGTTTGACAGATGATACCCCTACAGTTCAACAGCAAAATGGCAACACATCACAGAAGTTATTCCACGTATCAGACCTTTGGTGTGACGATGACGAGGATGAAGATGATGAATTGTTGAAAGAGCTTGAAAAGGATCCAATCTTCCAAACCAGCTTGAATGAAACTCTCACGAAATTTCTACAAAACTTTGCAACAACCGAAAGGTTCGCCGAATACGCACAACATCTGAACGAAGAGGAGAAGAGAATCTTACGAGGAATTCAAGTCAATGTTTAAATATCACTTACCATTCAATTTGATAAATGATTTAATGGAATTTTCAAAAAATTCTTTTTACAAAAATAAAATATTGAGCTCAGAATGAATTTTCATGATTTATTTACCTATTTGTATTCAAACATTTATTTTCAAAACACATAACACTGTGTAAAAATTGT